CCCCCCCACACGATTGGAAATTCCGTGTCGGGTGACTTTTCTCCTTCCTTCTGCCAGTCTGTTTTCGGCCTTAGGAGTCAAATGAGGTTGGGCTTCACTGTGGCCTAGTTCAGGGTTCCTCAGTCAACTATGCGAAGAGATCTTTTCAGCACCCACAAAACGGAGTTCCTACCCCCCCAGCAATGAAAACCTAAAGAGATGTGTTGCAAATACTGTTTCTCTTTTATATGTTTTGAGAGACAGCACGTGAGCAAGGGAGGGGCAGAGAGAGAGAGGGAGATGGAGAATCTCAAGCAGGCTCCTTGCTGTCAGCACGGAGCCCGACTCGGGGCTTGAACTCGCTCACGGGAGATCATGACCTGAGTTGGATGCTTAACCCACTGAACCACCCAGGCGACCCGCAAATACTGCGTTTCTTTGTTTAAGGGGGTGGCACATTTTAGCGTGGGTAGGAGGAGAATTTTGCACGTCCTCCCCCCCCCCCCCCCCTTGCTGGGGGTATCGCAGGAGGAAAGGAGGGTTGGAGGAGAATCATCTTGGTTTGCTTGGGTGACTTGATATCATGACAAGGGATGGGGGGACGGCCTTCCCCTCCCGGGGCCTTCTCTCCACCCATGGCCCGGAGGGTAAAGTGGCTGAAGGTGTGTGTGACCACGCCTGGGTGGTTGATGGAGCAGGGTGAGGTATCCCCAGATATGAGTATGATATGGGGAGGGGGGGGTCTCAGTTTGTGAATTCAAAAGGGACCGCGTGTACGGAGGGGGGACGGGCTGGGAGGCGTGGATCCGGTTGCGGACCCCCAGCTACCCGTGTGTCCGCAGGTGTTGCCCACGCCATGTCCAGCAAAGAAGAGAAGCAGAGACGGAGTGGCCAGGGAAGCGCCAGCCGTGGTGCCCGCCAAAGAGCCTCCGAGGCCACCCTGGCCTCGAAGCCTGGGGACACTGCCCTGCCTCCCCAGCCGGAGTCCGATTCCTTCAAGGAGGAGCTTGGTGGGTATATGCTGGGGAGGAGCTCGGAGGCAGAATGTGTGTCTTCAAAGAGGGTCTGAGGGTTGTGGGGGGGGGTTGAGTGGAGCGTCAGGCCTGATGCTGGGCTCCTGTCTCTGTGTTTTCCTCTTGGCCAGCCTTGTCCTGTTCTTTCCCCCCCCCCGGTAGGGGGCCCCCCCCCCCCCCCCCCCCCCCCCCCCCCCCCGCCCCACCCCAGCCGGTCGGGTCTTTCTCCTAGCCTCTTCTTCTTCCTCACTTCCAGTGTTCCAGGTTGCTCCGACCACACCGAGGAGGGTTTGATCTCTTCCTTTTTCCCATCTTCACCCTGGGTGGCAAAACAAATAATGTTTTTCTTCCATTAAGCCCATCACCATGGAGACTCAGCCTGCTTCGCCGCCCTTTGAATCCTCAGTCTGAGCGCTGCTTTCTCCCATCTGTTCAAGGCTCTTGCGTCTCTGCCTTCATTTTGGCGGAGCCTTGGTAGACTCAGGAGGGTCAGGTTCAGGGCCACACACACAAAAAGAAGCCCCATGTCTAGATTGAGGGAGCAGAGAGTTTAAAGAGGCTGCCTCCTGCGGCTTTGATCTCAGGGATGCCTCTCCTGTGGGTTGGAAGGTTTTTTTTGGTAGCAGTTGCTGTCGCTGGGCCGTGCCTTGGAGCTCTGGCCGGTGTAGATTGGACTGTGAACTAAGTATAGCCCCCACATTTTCCCACTGCAAGCAGCCTCTCAAGAAGGACAGAAATAGAATCCTCTTTTCATATGAACAGTGGTTAAGCATGGGTGTGGGAGAGAGGTCCAGGGTTCACAGGATACCTAGGATCCAGAGGTTAGAGACCAGCAAAATGTTTTGTTCTGAGTTCTCCCAGAAGCATTAAAAATGGAACTAGCTCCTGGAGGCTGGGCGCCTGGACCAGGGATGTGGAGGGAGCAGGAGGCGCAGCGAGGTTCAACCCGGAGACTCCTTCAGTGTGAGAAGGGAAGGAGAGTCTCAGTGAAAGCCTTGACCATCCAATACAAAGAATCTATGACTCCCTTAGCTCTAAGCCTTTTTGTCCTTTGGTGGGGAGCTTTCCAGCTGACCCAGCAGAGGTTCAGAGGAGATGGGGACCTCCACAGCATCCCTGACACCCACGGTGATCCCTGTACTCTTCGGAGCTGGGGAGGGGATTGAGGTCTGTCCCTGCTGGAGACAGAGGGGCTGGCCATGGTCTGAATGTTTTGTCCCCCTCCCTCCCCCAATTCATACGTTGAAATCTTAACGCCCCCATGTGATGTGATTAGCGGGTAGGGGCTTTGGGAGGTGCTCTGATCAGATCAGGAGGGTGGGACCATCATGGAGGGTGGGACCATCATGGATGGGATAAGTGCCTTGGGAAGGTGGTTCCAGAGAGATCCCTTGCCTCAGTCCTCCATGTGAGGACACGGTGAGAAGTCTGTGACCCAGAGGAAGGGTCTCGGTGCCCATGGTGCATCCTGGTTTAGGACTTGCAGCCTTCAGAAATGGGAGAGAGAAGTTTCTGCTGTTTAGAAGCCACCCAGTCTGTGCTGTTTTTTTTTTTTTAATGTTTATTTTTGACACAGAGACAGAGCATGAACGGGGGAGGGTCAGAGGGAGAGGGAGACACAGAATCTGAAACAGGCTCCAGGCTCTGAGCTGTCAGCACAGAGCTGGACGTGGGGCTCGAACTCACGGACCGCGAAATCATGACCTGAGCTGAAGTCGGATGCCTAACCGACTGAGCCACCCAAGCGCCCCCCGTGCTGTTTTGTTATGGCAGATGCAGGGATAAAGGGCCCAAAACACACATTGGTAAAGGTGGGTAAGTGGGCAAACACCTTTTGGAGGTCTCTGTTGACAACCTTTGCTTCCTTAGGCGTTCCTCAATTCCCATTAAGAAAAGGAGGACAGGTTTATAATCCCATATTTGTAGTTTTATTTGTTCATTTGTTTATTTTGAGAGAGCAGTTGTGCGTGTGTGTGCAACCAAGGAAGGGGCAGAGAGAGAGAGAGAGAGGGAGAGAGAATCCCAAGCAGGCTCCGAGCCGAGCAAGTACTCGATTGGGACTCCTACGGACACGGGACTCCATCCCGTGTCTGTGAGATCAAGATCTGAGCTGAGATCAAGAGTTGGGTGCTTAACCCACTGAGTCACCCAGCTGCCCCCATATTGTAATTTTAATTATGTATGTATGTGTGTGTTTAATTTTTTTATGTTAAGAAATTTTTTTTAATGTTTCTTTTTATTTTTGAGAGAGACAGAGCATGAGCGGGGGAGTAGCGGAGAGATAGGGAGACACAGAATCCGACACAGAACCCGAAGCAGGCTCCAGGCTCTGAGCTGTCAGCACAGAGCCCGACAAGGGGCTCAAACCTGGGAACGGTGAGATCATGACCTGGGCTGAAATTGGACGCTTAGCTGAGCCACCCGGGCTCCCCCATATTTGTAATTAAAAAAAAAACAAACAAAAAACTTTAAGGGCTAACCAGTTTTTTCCCACAGAGTTTGGCATCCAAACTTATTTGGTGGTAATATATAAACCAGACTGGCCCGAGAGTGCTTACGGTCAATGTAAGCACTTAGTGTGTATTTTCGAATGTTTTCCTGCGGTGCTACTGACTTTAAGAGTTAGATTGTGGCGTGTTGGTCGAGAGTCTGCCGGAGGCGGTGGGGGGGGAGGGGGATCGTGTGTCATACTCCGTTGACAATTGTACATTCTGAAGCCTACGCGACCCCAAGGTTTTGGATAAGAGACTATAGACCTGTATTTCAGGCAAGTCAGGCAAAGTATAGGGAATAACAGAATGGACCCCCATGTACCCATCACCCAATGACGACCACATTGTGGCAGTGAGTCCTTCCAATTGCCACATCTCCCCCAGCTCTTCTCTCTATCTCCAGATGCCACCGTTATCCTGAGTTGGTGTTTATCATCCTCAAGCTTGCTTTTTAAAAAAAATCAAAATTTTTTTAATGTTTGTTTATTTTTGAGAGAGGGAGACAGAGAGAAGGAGACAGAATCGGAAGCAGGCTCCAGGCCCCGAGCTGTCAGCACAGAGCCCGACCCGGGGCTCGAGCTCCCGGTCCGCCAGATCATGACCTGAACGGAAGTCAGCCACTTAACTGACCGAGCCACCCAGGCGCCCCCTCAAGCTTGCTAGTTACATTTTTACTGCACGTAGCCATGAACATCATATACCGGTATCCTATCTCATGACTTGGATTTTATATATATAAATTGTGTTGTAGGAGACAAAACCAATATACTCTTTAAGCAATGTTTTTTTTTTTTCTTCTTTGAGTTTATTCCTCCACTTGGAGAGTGCATGCGTGCAATCATGAGCGGGTGAGAGGCAGAGAGAGAATCCCAAGCGGGCTCCCTGCTGTCAGCACAGAGCTCTATGTGGGGCTCCGTCCTACAAACCCGTGAGATCATGACCTGAGCCGAAATCGAGAGCCAGATGCTTAACTGACTGAGCCACCAGGCGCCCCCCACCCCCCACTTACCCTTGAGGTTGCCTCAGTCTTCCTCCCCTTAGCCTTGGTTCCATCTGGCATCTTGAAGGCCTTCAGTTTTCTCGAAGGGCATTAGATTTCTTGGTTACCCGTCTCACCACCGCCAAGCTCCTGGAACCGTCTGCCCCATCTTTTTCGCGATTTTCTTTCTTGGCTTCTGTGCCTCAGTCTCCCCTCTTGGGTTTCCTTTCTGAAGTCGGAGTGTCCTGTTCCCCAAAGTCTTTTGGCTCCGTCTCATTTGCTTCTTCCTCCTTTCGGCCCATGGCAGGCGGGAAACCCACCGGCTTTACGCGTCCCTTGTGTGAGCAGCAGATCAGGAGGTAGAAACTCACCCTCCTGGGTATTCTCGGCGTCCAGAGTGGGTGCGGCAGAAAGGAGTGCGCCAACTGAGCGGGGCCGGTTTCCGTGGGCCCCAGCCTCTGCCTGTGGGGAAAGCAATGGAAGGCCAGAAGCTGAAGGCCTAGAATAATCTTAGTGCTGCTTGGCCTTCATTCCCCTGCCTCCCTCCACTCCTCTACTCCTGCCCTTGTCAGCTTTTTCTTTCTTTATTAATTAAAAAAGATTTTTTTAACACTTATTTATTACTGAGAGACAGACAGACACAGAGCATGAGCAGGGGAGGGGCAGAGCGAGAGGGAGACACAGAATCGGAAGCAGGCTCCGGGCTCTGAGCTGTCGGCACAGAGCCCGACGCGGGGCTCGAACCCACAGACCGTGAGATCATGACCTGAGCCGAAGTCGGACGCTTAACCGACTGTGCCACCCAGGCGCCCCCCCCACCTCCGATTTTTAATGTTTGTTTATTTTTGAGAGAGAGAGAGAGACAGAGCGTGCATAGGGGAGGGGCAGAGAGAGAGGGAGACACAGAATCCGAAGCAGGTTCCGGGCTCCGAGCTGTCAGCACAGAGCCCAATGCGGGGCTCGAACCCACGACCTGTGAGATCATGAGCTGAGCCGAAGTCGGACGCTTAACCGACCGAGCCGCCCAGGCGCCCCACCTCCGATCCTTTTTTATGGCCGAACAATATTCTACCGCAATTTTGTTTATCTGGCCACTCGTTGATGGGCACTTGAGTTGTTTCCACCTTTTGGCTGTCGTGAGTAGTGTTGCCGTGACCGTGGATGTGCAGGCATCTGTTCGAGTCCCCGCTTCGTTCTCTTGGGGATATACCTGGGGATGGAAGTGCTGGGCGGCGTGGTGACTATGTTTAAGGAACCCCCTCATTTTTGAAATTTTTTTTTTCAACGTTTATTTATTTTTGGGACAGAGAGAGACAGAGCATGAACGGGCGAGGGGCAGAGAGAGAGGGAGACACAGAATTGGAAACAGGCTCCAGGCTCTGAGCCATCAGCCCAGAGCCCGACGCGGGGCTCGAACTCCCGGACCGCGAGATCGTGACCTGGCTGAAGTCGGACGCTTAACCGACTGCGCCACCCAGGCGCCCCTGAAATTTTTTTTTTTAACGTTTATTTTTGAGACAGAGAGAGACAGAGCACGAACGGGAGAGGATCAGAGAGAGGGAGACACAGAATCTGAAACAGGCTCCAGGCTCTGAGCTGTCAGCCCAGAGCCCGACACGGGGCTCGAACTCACGGATGTGAGATCATGACCTGAGCCGAAGTCGGCCGCTTAACCGACCGAGCCACCCAGGCGCCCCATGGAACGCCCTCATTTTTGAATTTTTGTTCTTCCCAGAGCCAACATCGGAGGAGCCCGAGGCACAGAAAGAATTGCCGGAGCCTGAGGCGGATGTGGTAAGTTAGGGATTTCCCTGAGCCAACTCTTCCTCCCCGGGAGCCAGTCAGTCCGAGGGTTAGCTGTAAAATGGAGGACGAGGAGTTCTCTCCAGTCTGTCGCTGGCGTCTACTCCCTCTCCACTGGGAGCCTGCTTGCCACAGATCCAGCTCGCTGAGTCACGAGAAAGTTCTCCGTGCCCCGCACCCCTCCAGAGGGACAGGGCTTTGCGCGAGGGACAGGGCTCTTCACTTTCCCTTCCTTGTGTCCCCACCTGTTTTTGTTTGTTGATTTTTCAAATGTCTTTAATTTTTATTTTTCAGTGTTTGTTTATCAGAGAGAGAGGGACAGAGGGTGGGAGAGAGCGAGGGAGACACAGGTTCCGAAGCAGGCTTCAGGCTCCGAGCTGTCAGCACAGAGCCCGACGCGGGGCTTGAACTCGTGAACTATGAGATCGTGACCTGAGCTGACGTCAGATGCTCAACCGACTGAGCCACCCAGGTGCCCCGCCCCTTGTCTCCCCCGCCTTGAATCAAACCGGGACAGGCTCACCGCGTAAGGCCCAGCTGTGCTCGCTGTGGCTTCGTGCCAAGAACAAGAACTCTCCGGGCCCGGGTGTTAGCAGCCGAGCACTGTGTGCTATATCCGTGCTATTTTTATTTGTACTTCTTTGATTTCAAGTGACACTGAACGGTTTTTTCATATTTTCAGTTTCTCTTTTTGCGACACGACACGTCCGTTTGCGTCCGTTTATTTCCTGGGGTGGTTGCGTTTTCCTCGTTGGTCCACCCTTGGCTCTACATGGGAGACATTTTAGAGCATGAAGTTTTCTCGACTTGGAAACTTCAGGTGAAGGAGATTCCTTCTCATCTTCCAGGAGCACTGGGAGAAGGACAGGGTGACTCCTCGTGTTTGTGCTCATGTCTTCCGGTTCCTTTAATTATTTAGAGGAGTTCTCCAGAGTTTTTTTTTTCTTTTAAAAAAAAAAATTTTTTTTTTCAACATTTATTTATTTTTGGGACAGAGAGAGACAGAGCATGAACGGGGAAGGGGCAGAGAGAGAGGGAGACACAGAATTAGAAACAGGCTCCAGGCTCTGAGCCATCAGCCCAGAGCCTGACGTGGGGCTCGAACTCACGGACCGTGAGATCGTGACCTGGCTGAAGTCGGACGCTTAACCGACTGCGCCACCCAGGCGCCCCATAGAGTTTTTTTTTTTTTTTTCTAGTCACCACTTATAATTTTTTTGCTGTCTAACTCGTGCGTTCTTTGGTGTTTCCCAGTCTTGTCTCTTCCCCTTCGTTCTCCCTCTCTGCTAAGGCTAGTTTGCTTTTTTTTTTTTTTTTTTAAGTTTATTTACTTTGAAAGAGAGAGAGAGAGAGACAGAGAATGCACTCACTATAGGAGGGGCAAAGAAAAAGGGAGAGACAGAGACAGGGTGGAGCCTGACTTGGGGCTCGAACCCACAAACCATAAGATGATGAACTGAGCCGAAATCAAGAGTCAGACACTTAACCGACTGAGCTGCCCAGGCGCCCCTGCCAGTTGGCTTTGCCTTGCCGTCTCCCGTTCAGCGTCCCGGGCAGGCTGCACCCTTCTCCTTTTTCCAGCTCATCATCTTGGAGCCTGATTGCCCGCTTTAGGCTCATATCCTACAGGGTCCCTTGATTGAGTGTTACTCCGAGGTCGAGGATCGCTGGGCGAGGTGTCTTTGCAACCACAGGCGTAAAGGAGATATCTTGGGAAGATCGTGTCCCCCGTTTTCCTCTGTGGTCCGTTCTAGTTTCACTCGTCGAAGCAAGGGAATCTCACTGTCTGCTTTCTTCAGAAGCTTGAAACCCGTCATTCAGCTTATCGGCAGCCTTCCCTTCACCATCCTGGACCCGTCAGGCTTCTCGCCTCATGTCCTATGTCCCCACGTGCGCTTGTGAATGGGGGAAAGGACGCCTCCTGACGGCTGTACCTGCTTCGGCCCTCTGCTCCCCTCCCGTAGAAGCCCCTTTTCCTGTCCCGAGCCGTGCTGACAGGACTGGCGGGTGCGGAATGGACAGCGCAGCACGATGCCGTCCTGGAACACTTTGCCCGGGACCCTTCGGAACCCATCGTCACCATCTTCATCGACCCCTGTGTGGGGCTGACGCTGGAGCTGGGCATGCCTGTACAGGTGGGTGCTCGGCTCTCCCGGACCCCGAGGTGGTCGGCCAGGGAGCTGAGGGTTTGCGTCCCTCCATCATCTGAGTCTTACCTCCTGTGCCCAAGGTGTGTTGAGCCTCGTGGTGGGTCCGCTTGACGGTGGAATACAGAGGCATGAGGCAGGGTTTTGCTTTCGGCGATCTCGTGGTCTGGTGGGGGAGACAGACGTATAGAAACTATTCACAATGTGTTAGGATGCACGGGCAGAGCTTAATAGGAACTTTATGGGGACCGTACAGCCAGTGGGATGCTGGCAAGGCCTGGCGACAGAGGTGACATTCGAGCTGGAAAAGAAAGGTAAGTCCGATTTCATCGCGTCCGGGTGAGAGCTGTGTCGGCAGAGAACGCTTTATGGGCAAGAAAAGAGCTGTGGGAGGCGATCCTGAAAAGGCGGGCTGGGGTCACTTCGCGGAGGGCCTTGTGTTTATGCTGGAGAATTTGGCCTCCCTCCTGGAGGGAACTAGCGCAGCCTTTCGTGGATTAGAGAGAGAACGCTTTCAACCGTGTGGAAGACACACGGGCGAGGGGTAAGCCACGGGTAGGGAGACGGTTAAAAGACGGTTAGAGTAGAACGTTAGTGGTGGAATCTGGGCAGTGGGTATATAGGCCATTGTTGTAAACCTCTTGTAACTTTTCTATATGTTCGAAGCCTTTGAAATAAAGTGTTGGAAAAGAGAAAGGCCTTTGCTTTGCTTTTATTGGCAGCACGTACACAAAACGATAACGATAATGGAGGTGAACATGGCCGTGCGCCGTGACACAGTTTGGGAAATGTTCCAGATCAAACAAAAGCAAAAATAGCTTGCGGCTTTTTCCTGTACGTTGGCGTCAGGCAGCTACAAAACATCATGGAAAAAAAAAAAAAATCTCATTCGTAAAAGGAAGAAGAGTTTGCCAAAAATGTGTAGGATTTATATGAAAGAAAGCAAGTTTGTTGCAGGCCATGAAACCATGAGAGAAGATTTGACTGAATAGCCATATCCTGTTTCTGGGTGGGAATCTTAATATTATAAAGATCCTTTATCTAAAAAGAAATGTGCCATTTTAATGCAACTCCCATCACAGTGCCAAAGTCCCTAAACCCCTTACGTGAAGATTTAAAAATCTATCCAGTCGGGACGCCTGGGTGGCTCAGTCGGTTGGGCATCCGACTTCAGCTCAGGTCGTGCTCTCCTGGATCATGAGCTCGAGCCCCGCGTTGGGCTCTGTGCTGACAGCTCGGAGCCTGGAGCCCGTTTGGGATTCTGTGTCTCCCTCTCTCTGCCCCTCCCCCCGCTCACGTTCTGTCTGTCTCTCAAAAATAAACATTAAAAAATATATACCCAGAAATATGCATGAAGAAGGAAAGTAATGTAGGAGAGTTGTGAATACGAAAATCTCTTCTAATTAAACTGAAGTAATTACAACAGAGCTGTACTGGGACAGGAATATACATTGATATGCAACATTAAAGACACCAAGTACAGATGCATATATGTAAGCATTTTCTCTAAAAATTGCATTTAAAATCTGTGGGGAAGAACAGATCCTTCGGTGAATAGAATTGGGAAACATAGAAAAATTTTCCATTAAAAATCTAATCAGCTGGGGAGAGCAGGGGGAAACAGGCAGATGTTGGTCAGAGGGCACAAGGAGATCAAAAGCAGAGGCCACAAAGCAAAAATACACACACGGGACTACATCACATCCAAAAGCTTCTGCACAGCAAAGCTTCTTCCATCAACAAAACGAAAAGGCAAACCTAAGGATTGGGAGAAAATTCGTGTAAATCGTCTATCTGATAAAAGGTTAATATCCAAAGTATATAAAGAACTCCTACAATCCAATAGCAAAAAGAACAGCCTGATCAAAAAATGAGCAGAGGGATTGAAGAGACATTTTTCCAAAGAAGACCTACAAATGGCCAACGGGTGTTTGAAAAGGTGCCTCCATATCATCAATGGGAGAAATGCAAGTGAAAATCGCAGCGAGGTATCAGATACCACCTGACACTTGTCAGAATGGCCATCGTCAAATAGACTCCCAAGAGACAACAAACGTTGGTGAAGATGTGCAGGAGAGGGAACCCTCGTGCACTGTTAGTGGGAATGTAAGTTGGTGCAGTCGCTCTGGAGAATGGGATGGACGTTCCTCAGAAAATTAAAAGCAGAACTACCCGATGATCTGGCAATCCAGTTGTGGGTATCCATCCAAAGGAAATGCAATCGCTATCTCAAAAACATACCTGTACCCCACGTTCGTTGCAGCATTATTTACAGTAGCCAAGCTATGGGAGCAGCCTAGGTGTCCACCGATGGATGAATGGATAAAGAAAGTTCCATGTACACACGATGGAACAGTATTCAGCAGTGAGAAAGAAAAGAAGCCCGGGGCGCCTGGGTGGCTCAGTTGGTCAAGCAGCGGGCTCTTGATTTAGGCTCAGGTCATGATCTTGTGGTTCATGGCACTGAGCCCCGCATCAGGCTCCACACCGACAGTGCGTGGAGATGATCTCTGATTCTCAGTTTTTTTCTCCTAAAAAAGTGACAAACAGAAAGAAAAGAGAATCTTGCTACTTGCAATATCCTGGATGGAACTTGAGGGCATTATGCTGAAATAAGTCAGAGGAACATAAATACTGTATGATCTCACTCATGTGTGGAATCTAGGGGGGAAAAACCCCAAACTCACAGAAACAGAACAGATTGGCGGTTGCTAGAGTGAGGGGGTGGGCAGGTAGGGGAAATGGTTGAAGGTGGTCAAAAGATACAAACCTCCAGTCTTAAGAGAAATCAGTTCTGGTGATATAATGTACAACACGGTGACTATCGTTAGCAATAGCATGTATTTGAAAGTTGCTAAGGGAGTAGATCTTAAAAAGTTCTCAAGATGAGACGGAAAGAATTGTAAGCGCGTGAGGTGATGGATGCTAACTCAACTTACTGTGATCATCACTTTACATATATCAAATCATGTTGTACCCATTAAACTAACAGTGTTATCGGTCAGTTATATCTCAATACAACTGGAGGGAAAGGGTACAGTTTCATTTATGCAAGGTGAATGGTTCTGGAGGTCTATTAGACAGCATGGTAACCACAGTTATCGTGTGTGCACCTGCAGTTTGCTAAGAGGGTACGTCTTCAGTGTTCTCACTGCACACACACATGCACACGAGAAGAAAAAGAAAAAAATGGTACCTAACGAGATAGTGGGTATATTCATTTGGTTGATTATGGTGATCATTTCACAGTGTATGCATGTATCAAAGCATCAGGTTGTATACCCTAAGTCTATACATTTTTATTTGTCAATTATGCCTCAAGAAAGAGAAAATTTATTTGGTATGCTGAAATACATTCTAAACGAGATTACAGCCTTAGTTGTATGCTTCTGAGTCAAGATGGCCAATTGAATTTCCTTAAAGAATTATTACTCTTGGGGTGCCTGGTTGGCTCCGTTGCTTAAGCGCCTGACTTTGACTCAGGTCATGGTCTCACAAGCTTGTGAGCTCAAGCCCTGTGTCGGGCTCTGTGCTGACAGCTCAGAGCCTGGAGCCTGGTTCGGATTCTGTGTCTCCCCACTCTCATGCTCTGTCTCTCTCTTTCAAAAATAAATAAACATTAAAAAAAATTTTTTTTAAAGAATTATTATTCTTGATAAAAGGAGCAAAAGGTAAAACCAGAAAAAAAAAAAAAAAAAACAACACCGAAGAGTAAAGAAGGAAAGAAACATAATCTAAGAGACTTGATGAAGTGGGGACCAATGAAAGGTCTGTGCTCTGAGTGACAGAAATGTTCTTCCCAGGGGAATGGTGGACCCCCAGCAAGATGGGACCCTCAGGACGTGTAACAAAACCTGAAAAGGAAGAAAGCGCCCAGGTATTTTCTCAGAGATTTTACGTTCTTTTGAACCACTCGCCTGAACCACTCGCCCATCCCCTCGTGCTATCCTCTTAGGCTGGCGAAGAGGGAATAAAACATAAAATACGCGATCCTTTCACTTGGAGGGGGAAAAGAAACACGGCTCTCCCAGCAGGACATCAAGGAGTCACCCACAGTCTGTTAGAGCAGAAACGACGGGGTCACAGAAACTGCTCACGCATGTGGAAGGTGGAGAGGAATTGCGTGGCAACCGCAGGCATGTTACATCCAGGGGACACAAATGGAACAAAGCAGACACAGGAGGAAAAGAGCCAAGCAGAAGGAAATTCCTCACAACAGAATTTGTGCTAGGAACAAACCTAACAAGAGCATGAATTCAATTTTTAAAAAGCTGGGAGGTGAAATGATGCAACATGGGAAATACATAAAACGGAGATTGCAAATTTTAGGAAATGAACATAGCAGCATGTGACAAAACCCAGTAGGTTAGAAACAGCGAGGGACTGACGAGCGATCGCTGCAGACCCGAGTTGCCAGGGAAGAGAGGCTCGAGATCATCATAGTGCACGAGGAAGAGAAAGCCAATGACGACACGATTAAAGGAAAGTTAGTAAGACAGGTGATCTAATATAGAGTGCCAACGAATGAGACAATAGAAATTTAAAGATAAAACACAAAAGAATTTCCTTGACCTGCAGAAGGAACTGAATCTGGGAATTGGCAGAGCAAGCTTTTCTTCCACAAAATTTGTTACACAATGTTTAATGTCAACACACATCTTAGGTAAGCTACTGAACTCCAAGGGAATTAATTCTTTGGGAACATCGCCTATGTGGTATTCCTGCCAAGAAGATTTAACCTGCATCTAATACTGAGGAAACAATCAGATAAATACAAGTTAAGGGACATTTTGGAAAACAACTGGCCTGGACTGTTAGAAAGATCAATGCCATGGAAGAAAGAAAAAGACAGGGGTGGTGGTGGGGGGGCGCCTGGGTGGCTCAGGTCGGCTCAGATCATGGTCTCACGGTTCGTGAGTTTGAGCCCCACGTTGGGCTCTGCGCTGGTGGCACGGAGCCTGCTTGGTATTCTCTCCCTCTCTCTCTCTCTCTCTGCCCCTTCCCCATCTGCACTCTCTCTCAAAATAAGTAAATAAACTAAAAAGAAAAAGAAAAAGAAAAAAAAGGAAAAGACCGGAGAACCGTGTGGAATGCAAGGAAACTGAGGAGACACGGCTGTGTGTGATCCTGGATTGGATCCTGGGTGGCAAAGAACAGCCGTATGTGACGTTATTTGGACCACTGGGGAAAATTGAATATGGATTGTGTATTATATCAAGTATTGTATGAAGTTCAGTCTTCTGAGTGTGTGATAATTGTGGTGTTGGATGTGTTGGAGAATATCCTTTTTCAGAGCTATATGCCAAAGTATTTAAGGGCGCCCTATCACGATGTCTACTGCTAACTCTCAAATGGCTCAGCTGGGAGAGGGAGCGAGCAAGAGGGTTCCCTCAAGCACAGATGTTGACAATAATGAATCTAGATGGAGGGTGTGCTGTTCATTGGATTTTTCTTGCAATTTCTCTATGAGTTGGAATTATTTAAAACACAGAAATTTGGGAAAAAATGACTTAGCCCTCGCCAAAAAACAAATAGTCTGCCACGAGGAAACATTAGGCTGGTTGCCCACTTCTCTGATCACCAGGAAGAACACACTCAGAGTTCTCTCGGAAGGACAGTGTGCCCCAAGGGTATTATACCCAGCCGAGATGGTCAAATACAATGGCAACAAAGAGGTGGTCATTTGCAATCTTGAAAGAACCCTACTTAAAAAAATATATATTTATCATCAGTGGAAATCTATTCCATTAAGAAATGAACCAAATAGGGGCTCCTGGCTGGCTCACTCAGTGGAGTGTGAGACTCTTGATCTGGGGTCATGAGTTTGAGCCCCATGTTGGGTGTAGAGATTACTCAAAAATAAAATCTTAAAAAAAAAAAAAAAAGAAAAGAAAGAAATGAACCAAATAAAGAACTCAGGAATAAAGAATCTAGGAACGTTCAATTCATTTAAATAAAAATTAATACTAGGGGTGCCTGGGTGGCTTAGTTGGTTAAGCATCCAACTCTTGACATTCAACTGACAGCCACCCAGGTGCCAAAAGATTTTATGTCTTTATTTATTTAATTTTTATTTATTTATTTATTTTGAGGGGGGCGAGGGAGGGGCAGAGAGAGAGAGAGAGAGGGAGAGAGAGAGACTCCCAAGCAGGTTCAGCACTGTCAATGCAGAGCCCAACGCAGGGCTCGATCCCATGAACCTTGAGATCATCACCTGAACCAAAATCAAGAGCCAGATGCTTAACTGACCAAGCCACCCAGGTGCCTCAAAGATATTTTATTTTATGTTATTAAAAAATTTTTAATGTTTATTTGTGAGAGAGAGACAGAGTGTGAGCAGGGGAGGGGCAGAGAGAGAGGGAGACACAGAATCGGAAACAGGCTCCAGGCTCCCAGCTGTCAGCACAGAGTCCGACGTGGGGCTCGAACTCACAAACTGCGAGATCGTGACCCGAGCCGAAGTCGGATGCTCAACTGACTGAGCCACCCAGGCACCCCAAAGATATTTTTAAGTGATCTCTATGCCCCAGATGGAGCTCAAACTCACAACCCCAGGTCCAAGAGTCACATGCTCTATTGACTGAGCCAGCCAGGGGCTCTTCCCCTGCCTTTTAAAAAGTTTTTATTTCGGGGTGCCTGGGTGGCTCAGTCACTTAAGCCTCCGACTTCGGCTCAGGTCATGATCTCACAGCTTGTGAGTTCAAGCCCCACATCGGGCTCTGTGCTGATGGCTCAGAGCCTGGAGCCTGCTTTGGATTCTAAGTGTCTCTCTCTCTGCCGCTCCCCTGCTCGCTCTCTGTCTCTCAAAAAAAAAAAAAAAAATAAATAAATAAATAAATAAATAAAAAGTTTTTATTTTAATTGCCCTGTGCTCAGCATAGCAAGTGCTCTCCTTAATTCCTGTCACCCCTTACACCCATCTTCCCGCCCACCTCCCCTCTGGAAAGTATCAGTTTCTTCCCTATAGTTTAAAGTCTGTTTCTTTTCTCTCTCTCTTTTTTAAGTTTATTTATTTATTCTAATACTCTCTACATCCAACGTGGGGCTCGAACTCACAACCCCAAGATCAAGAGTTGCATGCACTCTCACTCATACATACCACACTTACACCACACACACAGGCAAACCACACATATCCTAGAATCACGCCAATGTGCACCACACACGTACTGCACAATATACCACACACACTCACTAATCTTAACACATACACACCAGTAATACAGCACACAAAAGCCAGCTGAGCCAGCCAGGCACCCCAAGAGTCTGGTTCTTGGTTTGCTCCTCTTTCTCCTTTCCCCCTTTGCTCGTTTTATTTCTTGAATACTACACAGGAGGGAAATCACATGGTATTACATATATATATATCATTTTAAGAAAAATAATAGTGTTAAGGTTTAAAAAAAAAAAAAAAAAAGACCCCAAATGCCAAAATTTAATTCTGGGCAGTGGGAAGATGGATGGTTATTAATTTCTTCTCTGTGCTTCATTTTCAGTTTTTGGAATGAACTAAACTGTAAAGAGTAGTCAAATGCACGCCCACACGAAAGGCAGATCTGATCTTAGGGAGGAATGGCCTTTCTGAGCATGTAGGGAAGTCAGGAACTCGAAAATTGTGAAGTTTTAACTACACGGAAGCTGTACGTTTCTGGATATGGGCAACAACAGCCACACAAACTCACCATTAACCAAGTTGAGGGGTAAATGGAAAATCGGGGGAGGAGTTTATGCAACTGAAATGGAAACACCCAAGTCAATTGCCTGTTAATTCCATTCCTCTCCTTCCCGCTTTCCCTATACCTACAAGTGCTTCCCCCATTCTATCCCTTTCATTCTATCCATCTGTGCAACATTTACGGAGCATCTAATGTGTCCCAGTCAACTGTACTAGGTTCCGGGACCAAGTTGGGCAGAATACACAGTCCCTCCCTCCCTTCAAGACGTGCTCTCTGCATTTCCTCCCTGTGGTTCTGGGTGTGGACTCTGTTACGTCCCCTGAAAGACACAGGAAGCACACCGTGACACATTTGGAGATGAGCCAGGATGCCCTAAGCGAACGTGACCGAGACCTCAGCCAGGCCTTCGTGATTGGTGCCTCAGATTCTGTTGGGTACCATGCTGGGGTCTGGACGCTGATCTCTGACCTACTGTCTTCCACGCAGACGCAGAACCAGATTGTCTACTTCATACGCCAAGCGCCGGTTCCCATCACTCCAGAGAACTTCGAGGCCACCGTGCAGTTTGGGACGGTGCGTGGTTCCTACATCCCGGCCCTGCTTCGGCTGCTCAGTGGCGTCTTTGCCCCTCAGATCTTTGCAAACGCAACCTGGCCTGAGAGTATTCGAAATCATTTTGCTTCTCATTTGCACAGATTCTTGGCCTGCCTGACAGGTGAGCAGAAAACCTCCCGTGCCTGGTTTCTGTCTGGTGCCCCACCGACGGGAGGGGCGAGCGAGGCGGGTGGGAGATTCATCCCGAGTACCTGTGCGGCCCGGCACGGAGTCGGTGCCTGGGTGTGTTTGCTGAATGCGTGGGTCAGGGTGCAGAATTTGCCTCCCGGTACAGGTACGGTTTTCTGCCGTCGACGGTTGACCGGATCCGCTCAAACGTAGAGTTGGGTATTTCATGAGTACACGTGGGGTCAGGGGAAACGCGGGCGGTACGGGGCTCCTGGGGGGAGCGCATGCATCGTAGAAGAGAATGTTGAAGACGCGGTCCAGATCTTTGACCTTATTTTATGAGAATCTCTTATTTTACCTCAACGAGGTTTCCCTCTTGCCTTCTGTCATTTTTCCTCTTGAGGTCAAAAAATTAGGAGTCGTAGTTTCTTTTGCCCGTTCTCCTGAAATCCCCCATACTTCCTGGGCCCCGGAATAGCAACCACTGTTGGAACTGGGGTAGCATAAACTCCGTCCCGTCTGTGAACTTCCACGGTCCTTTCCTTTCCTTAGACACTCGCTACAAACTGGAGGGGCACACGGTTCTCTACATTCCCGCAGAGGCCATGAACATGGAGCCTGAGGTGGTAGTTAAGGACAAGGATCTGGTGCAGCGGCTGGAGAGTGAGTGGCTGGCATCGCCAGTGTGTTGCGGGGCCGAGGGGACAGCGGAGGGGCAGCCCAGAGGCCGAGGAAGGAGCTGGGTTGGGTGGGCTGCGCGGGCGGCCGCGGGAAGGACACACAGGGGAGCAGTTTAAAGACGCGCGAGAGGTTTTGTGCTCTCCCCGGCAGCCTCCATGATCCACTGGACCCGGCAGATAAAGGAGGTGCTCAGTGCCCAGGAGTCTGTGGAGATAGGAGAAAATTTAGGTCCTTTGGAGGAGGTTGAGTTCTGGCGCAATCGGTGCATGGACCTGTCTGGCATCAGTAAACAGCTGGTGAAGGAGGGAGTGAAGCACATCGGGTCCATCCTGCACCTTGCCAAGTCGTCCTACTTGGCACCCTTCATGAAACTGGCCCAGCAGATCCAGGTTGGTGAGCGGGCCAGAGGATGGAGGCTTAAGGGGCGCCCGGGGCAGGGGCTCAGTCGGTGAAGCGTCCGACTTCGGCTCGGGCCATGATCTCGCCATTCATGAGTTCGAGCCCCGCGTCGGGCTCTGTGCTGACGGCTCAGAGCCCGGAGCCTGCTTCGGGTTCTGTGTCTCCCTCTCTCTCCGCCCCGCCCCTGCTCACACTCTCGATCTCTCGCTCTCTCTCACTCTCTCAAAAATAAATATACGTTAAAAAAAAAAAAAAAGGATAGAGGCTTAGCAGAAAGTGGACAGCGGTTGGGACAATATCAGGTGCTAAGGAGAAGGAGCCACAGTAAGCATCGACAGCAAAGATAGATCCACCCAGTGTTTGGACCTTCACTTGGCGGGGGAGGACACAAGGAGGAAAACACAAGGTCCCAAGGAGCTTAGGGTTTAGTTAGGGAGACTGCAGTCAGTCGACAAATAAACACTGAGTACCTTCTACGAGCCCCACCCCTGTAATCTGTCTCCATGAACCCCACCCCTACAGTCCGGCTCAGAAAATTAGGCTTCCACAAAACAGAATCACTAGATGGCATGGGGTCAAAGAGGAACCCATAGGGTTCAGCCAAGAGAATTGCAAGATAAACACTTAAAAAATAAATTTAAGGGGCGCCTGGGTGGCTCAGTCGGTTAAGCGTCCGACTTCGGCTCAGGTCACAATCTCGCGGTCCGGGAGTTCGAGCCCCGCGTCGGGCTCTGGGCCGACGGCTCGGAGCCTGGAGCCTGCTTCTGATTCTGTGTCTCCCTCTCTCTCTGCCCCTTCCCCGATCATGCTCTGTCTCTGTCTGTCTCAAAAATAAATAAAACGTTAAAAAAAAAATTAAAAAAAAATTAATAAAGTATGACGAGATGATTCTGTTAGCTTTGGGGACACGCAGAAGGGCAGAGTGATCTGTGGAATACAGGCAGAGAAGGCGGAGGCCTTCTCTTCCCGGGCAGGATTTTGAGCTAGGTCTTAAGGGAACTGAGCCACAGCTACGTGGGAAAGTTTCGAACCCTGCTCGAGACCAGTGCGGTGAGGGATACTGGGTGAAACCGTGAGGGTGTTCGGTCAGTTGATCAACAGTTATTGAGTGGTGCGGGGTTCTGAATTCAGCCGGAGACGCTGGGGGAGTGGACACAAACCCTGAGCGTAGGGAACCCCAGTCTGGTGGAAGAGATGGGACTCCCCACGAGAAAAGACACCAAGGCCCCGCGGTGGGAAGTACGAGCGAAAGCGGACAGGTACGAAGTCCGCTCTTGAGGGCCCACGGAGACCTGAGATGCCTGGCTAGGCTCTGAGAGAGGCAGGCCAGGGCGGGGTTCCAGATGGGCAAACGGTGCTGGCGCCGGGCCGCTTCCTTCCAACGGACGGGACTCACTCCTCGTTGGTCTTCCCTGCCAGGACGGCTTCCAACAAGCCCAGTCAAACCTGACGTTTCTGTCGATCCTGAAGGAGCCCTACCAGGAGCTGGCCTACATGCAGCCTAAGGACATCTCCAGTAAGCTCCCCAAGTTGATCAGCCTCATCCGCATCATCTGGGTCAACTCTCCCCACTACAACACTCGGGAGAGACTGACCTCCCTCTTCCGAAAGGTGCGTGTTCCGCAGGGGTGGGGCGGAGGGCTTTAGGAGAGGGGCCCGATTCGCTGAGGAAGGGGCATCCGCAGTTCCAGGCAGTGGGGAGCGGCCCGGGGGTGGGGGTGGGGGGTTCGGACAGAGACCCGTGGCTTCTTTCAGCTCCAGCGGGCTCCGGGTGGGGGTGGGGGCCTGGGCTGGACAGCCTGCTTCCGTGGCGGGGGAGGCAGGCAGCACAGTCCCCCAGGCTGAGCTGGGCAGGAGGGGAAGGCCCTTGTTTTCTCATCTGCAAAGCCGGGCACGGCACTGGGTGAGAGGCAGGTTTGGGAAGGGACGCCGGCTTTTGAGGAGCGGGACCCACGTTCCATCTGGGCTGACCGAGACAGGGCGCTGAGCCGGGAAGTGAGCTGGGCTGCAGCAGGGAGCAGCGGGGAAGGGGCGGGTGCCACTCGGGCCACCCGTCCGCCCGTCCGCCCGTCCGCAGATGAGCAATGAGATCATCCGCCTGTGCTGTCACGCCATCTCCCTGGACCGTATCTTCGAGGGCTACGTCACTTCCAGCAAGGAGGACCTCCAGGGCTGCATCTCGTGCTGCCAGGCCTGGAAAGACCACTACCTACAGGCTGTGCAGATGCATACCCAGTACGCTGTGCGTCCCCCACGGTCCCGTCTGTCACCCCTGCCACTCCCGCTGAGCACAGATGTTTAAAGCCTATGGATTCCGGTTCCGAGACCCGGTCCCAGTTCTCTCCGGATGCAGATACTCTAGTGCCTAGCCCTGGCTCCTCCTCTCCCTCGTCCCGGGAATCCTTCCTGGCTCACTCCTCCTTTCTTGGCTTTCTTGGCTCTCTTGGCCCGAAAGTCTGAAGTTCTAAAACTTCTAGAACGGAGATGCTTTGCCTCCTCTCTGCTTCTCCTCATCTCGCGTCTCCTCCCTTCAGGGCTCAGGAAAACTGCCTCTTGGGGTCCCCATTTCTAAGGCCCCCCAAACCCAGGACTCCCAGTTGGAGCTGCGCGCAGGCCGTTTCCTACGTTTCCATCCGGTCCACCTTTCTCTGGATTTAGGTTCTCTAACCGGGGCTGGGTCCTGGACCAGACCAGCATATTCGCTCAGGTGGATGCCTTTGTGCAGCGCTGCAAGGACCTCATTGAGGTGGGCAGACTGTCAGGGAGGGAGGGGCGGGCGCAGTGGACCCCAGACCCCGGCCAGGGGCCGAGGAGACAGGGCAGAGGCTGAGCCGGGAGCTTACTGCTTGGACTCTGCATAACTGTGTGTCCCACCTCTGGCCCGTCCTTTTAGACTCTTGCCTGTTATCACTGCCCGGGTGTCTTCTAGTTCATTCTGCAGCCCCAATTCATCCCAGTAGCTCCTTGTGTCTGGTGGGTCCTCCCTGGTGTTTAGACATCTTGAGCCAAACCGAAGAGCTCAGGGGCTACGAGGTCAGAAACAAGAGCAGGGAGGCCTGACGCTCTCTGACTTCGTTGTAGGTCTGTGACTGCCAGTATCATTTTGCCCGCTGGGAAGACGGCAAGCAGGGTCCCCTTCCCTGCTTCTTTGGGGCCCAGGGGCCCCAGATCACACGGAACTTGCTGGAGATCGAGGACATCTTTCACAAAAACCTCCATATGCTGCGGGCTGTCCGCGGGGGCATCCTGGACGTCAAGAACACGTCCTGGCACGAAGACTACAACAGGTGAGAGTGCCTCCTTCCCCCCCCCCCCCATCCCACCCCTGCCCTGGGCTGGGGAGGAGGGGGGTGGGGCGGGGCACAGGGGGCGGGGCTGGAGGAGGGGCCTCAGTAGGTGATGCTGGGCACACCCCGTTAACCAGTGAGAGCCTGTTTCCTCCACTAAAACAGAGGGCCTAGTGGTAGAACCCAACCTCACTGTATCACTTTGCGGAACGAACGGAGTCGGGCACATGACGCCCTTCGCGCCTGGCACCGGGGAGGCCCTCGGTATCAGCCCGGGGGGAGTCTCACTCGGGGCGTGGCCTTGAGGCAGGTGAGGACGCCTGCCAGTCACCGGTTATCATGCTCATCACGCTTCTCTAACGGCGCAGGTTTCGTTCTGGAGTCAAGGACCTGGAGGTGATGACTCAGAACCTGATCACCTCCGCCTTCGAGTTAGTCCGAGATGTGGAGCAGGGAGTGTTACTGCTGGACACCTTCCACCGGCTCGCGTCGCGGGAGGTGCCGCGCCCCCCCCCCCCCGCCCCGCCCCCGCCTGGCCTCTCCTCTGCCTCCTTCAGTTCTTCCTGATCCTTCCCGACTCCGTGCCACCTCCAGTCGTGCCCTCCCACGTCCCCCCTGTTCTCCACCGCCAGAGCCTCTTCTTCCGTCTGCTCCCCGAGTTTCCAGATGGCCCCGGGAGAAGGTGTCCTCCAGCTTGAGTCCCTGGGGGGGACCCTGGATCCGCCGGGGCGCGGGTTCAGGCTCTCTCCCTTCTTCCTTAGGCCATCAAGCGCACCTACGACAAGAAGGCGGTGGACCTGTACATGCTGTTCAATGGCGAGCTGGCCCTCGTGAACCGGGAGCTGAACAAGAAATGGCCGTACCTAGAGCCCTACGTGGCCCAGTTCTCGGGACAGGCGCACTGGGTGCGGATTCTGCGGCGGCGCATCGACAGAGTCATGAACGTGAGTGCCTGGCCTCTCCCCAGACTCGTTCTCGTGAGGCAGTGGAGGTTGGGGACTGTGCCCTGTGCTGGCCGGGGACCCGCCCCGGGAGTTTCCCCAGAGCGTCTCCACGGTGGGAGGCCGAGGTGGGCCAGGGGACTGGCAGGTGCGGGGCCTGGACAGGACGAGGCCGGAGCTTGGGATTCACAGCGACGGCGGGCGTGGTGGGTGGAACGTGAGTCCCGCTAGGATTTTCCTGTCAAGCTGGAGAGGAGGAGCCGGCCCAGCATCTGGGAAGCTGGGCCGTCAGAGGAGGAATACGACCTTGAGCAGCTGTGGCCCTTGAAGGGCCTGGTCTAGAACAGCAGGCATGAAGAACCAGAAAAAACCCAACAACCTCTAAAGGGCAGTTTTGGGCACGTAGGTCTAACGCTCTTGAGGTATCTGCCATCGTGTGATTGGTTCTGGTGAGAACCAGGCGGCCTGCGGACAGCAGAGGCCGCTTCACGGTCGCTGAGCAGGGACTTGGGGAGGAAGGGCCCGTACTGGTTTTCAACGTCGTACCTCTTCCGTCCTCACCTCCCGTGATTTACTTTTTTTGCCAACTTCTCCTGACCCGAGTTCCCGTGCTTCCCCTGCGCGCTGCTGACTCCCTGGCCGCCTCCTGTCACCTGTGCGTGTGGCCTACCCCCCCCCCCCCCCCCCCGCCCCGGGCGGTCGGGGCCGGCCTCCGCCGCAGGCCACACCCCGTGTGGGCCCGCGGGCGGGACGACAGTGCCTCGGAGGACGGTGGCCTGCGGGCTCCAGCCACCCGTTGTCCCCACCCCCCCTTAGTGTCTCTCCAGTGCCCACTTCCTGCCCCACATCGGGACCGGAGAGGAGAGTGTGCACGCCTACCAGCAGATGGTCCAGGCCATCGATGAATTGGTTCGAAAGACTTTCCAAGACTGGACGTCAACGCTGGACAAGGACTGTATTCGGCGGCTGGACACACCGCTGTTACGGGTCAGCCAGGAGAAGGCGGGCATGCTGGATGTCAACTTTGACAAGTACGGGACCCAGTCCCACCCCTTTCCCTGTGCTCGGCCGTCTCCCGCGCCGCTCCCTGCGCCCCGCTCTCCCGAGGCCTTAAGGCCCTGCCCTAGGTTCCTCGTGCCATTCCTGCTTCGAAGTCTCTCTTATGCTGTGGTATGCGTGCTGTCACTTCCTAACTTCAGTTCTGCGCTTTATCTCCAAAGCGCAGCCCCCGGTAACCCCCTGGGCCGGCGATGTAGGCGTTCGGCCGCTAGATGGCCACGACGGCTCAGCTAAGTCATCCGACCGCGAGCCGAGGTGCGGGCTCTCCTGGGAATCCGTCAGGCCCTCTCCTACGGCTTTTACAATGATGACGTTTTCAGGTTCCAGTGATTTAAAATGTAGTTAATTCATGTAATCGTCGCTCAGAAAGATACGCTCAGGGCCCTCTGTGTGCTGGGAACCGAGTTAGGCACTGGGACCGTGTCAGATGGCGAAGCCCGTGCCCTCTGCCACTCTGGAAGGGAACTGGGGCCGTACTGCCTTCCGTTCCGTAGAAGATGCAGACGGGAAAAATAAAGAAGGAGCTATGCAAGACATCTGTCTGTAGAGATTGCAAGCCTTCTGGTGACAGTTTTTTCTTATTTGGAAGGAAATAACTTTCCACTTGATTGGTTTGGCTCCCTCTTGTCATCAGCCAGGCCCTGTGATGAGAGCTGCTTCCTGGGCTTCTAAGGCTGTTGCCACGGGCACTGGCTTTACCTCCCAGAATGTCCTTATTTGTTGGGCACGCGTGGCAGGGGCTCTGCTAGAGAAGGCCTACGTGGAGATGGAGTCCGGGTGTGTGTGTGGGGGGGGCGGACAGAACTAACCAGGGGGAGAGGTCACGTCGTGGTCGAGGAAGGAAGGGGAGACCCAGGCAGTCATTGAGAAGGGCAGAGACGCTCGAGGCCGGACATGAGTGTTGGGCTGGGGAGGGGCGTCAGACAACGGCTTTGCTCAGGCTCGTGAGGTTTGGAGGTGTAACCAACCAGGATCCTAGAGAACTGGCTTCATACATCAACACCCCGCTTTGGACGTGACAGAGGGCGAGGCCGGGCTTACCCCGGCCGTGACATTTGCAGGCGCGTAACGGGGCTGGATCTGCAGGGTGCATTGTCCCGTCAGGCTGGGTGCTCCCGAAGGCGCCGTGTTGGGAGAGGCGCCCAGACGCACCTGGCCTTGCAATGACACGAATACTTAACCCGCACGGCCCGATGGTTGCCCTTTCCCCCGGAATTCAAGGCCTGCCTTCACGTGACGGAATTTTATAAAGTCCCAACGATCCGTATGTACGTTTTGAGCGTGAGAGAGGCCGTAGGTAAGCATGGGCTGGTGGCTCTGCCTCCGCCCCATCCTCAGGGCCAGACACAGCAGGGTCTCACCGCGGGAGGCCACCGGTCTGCTCCGTGACCTCAGGCAGGCCGCCAAGCTCCTCTGGGCCTGCGGTTCCTTATCTACCCGAAAAATCCACTTGCGAGACTGTCATGAGGAGAGCTGGCTTGTGTAGCAGCCCTCCCAAAGAACAAGCAATAAACGTTGTTTTCCTTTCAGGAGAATTGCCCGTAAAACTCGGTGAACACAGTGTATTCGAAGCAAATTTAGCAAGGTGGTAGAATACGTAATTATATTATTTTTTTAATAATAGTTTTGATTTTTAAAACAGTCAAACCTTTTACAAGGGGTGATGTGAGGTACACGTTACAACATTGACAAGTTGCACTACGGTAGAGAATGGAGAATCTCGCTCCACGGCTGCCCCCCTCCCCCGGCTTGACTCAGTTTCTCTTTAAAGAGTCACTGTTACCAGTTTCTTGTGTAACATTCCAGAGGTAAGAGTCTATATGGACATAAATAGCTTTTTTAATGTAAATAGTAGCATGCTATCTACGCTGTTCTGTATATCCAAAGTGTTTTCAAAATGATTTTTTCCCATTATAAAATCATCAACAATTGTAGAAAGTTTGCAAAATGCAGGGAAGTAGAAGAGAGGAAAAACATTTCCCCAAAGACAACCCCTCTTAACAGTTCGGTATGTTTTTTTCCACTTTTTTTTTTTTTTTTTTAACATTCATTTATTTTTTGAGAGACAGAGACAGAGTGTGAGCAGGGGAGGGGCAGAGAGAGAGAGAGGCACACAGAATCCGAAACAGGCTCCAGGCTCTGAGCTGTCAGCACAGAGCCCAACGCAGGGCTCGAACCCACGAACTGAGAGATGGTGACCTGAGCCAAAGTCAGTCGCTCAACAGACTGAGCCACCCACTCACCTTTTTCCACTCTTTTTTTTACCCCCCTACTTAATGTATTTGTGTGTGCGTGTGTTTTATTTTTAAAATCTTTAGTGGGTATTTTAAAATTATAAAAATAGTGCATGCTCACTGTAAAAAAAAAAAAAACAAAAAACTTGACGTAGAGGTATATACAGGAAACCGAAAAATCCAGCCTCCAGCCCCCTGCTCCCTAGAAGTAATCCTGATTACCATGTAATTAAAAATAAACACCGCACACAAAATAGGATCACCCTGTAAACAGGATTTTTGTAACCTGCTGCTTTTTAAGGGTTAACAAGGTACATGGGGGGTTTTCATTCTGTATGCGGAGAAGTATGTTTTCCATGGTTTATAGCATCCCATAGTTTGGCTTATAAGTTGTCGTACAGCTTCTGTAAGGTTTGTGAATAGTTTGTACCAGAGGATTTCAAGCGGGCCTCCTGTACTTTGTTGCCACCCCTCCACAGCGTGTGTTTGCCTGATGTCCGCGACCCTGTCCGTCGGGGAGAAAACTTTCCTCTGTGCTGTGATCACCTCCCGTCAAGGAGCATGTTCGATACTCATCTAAACTGCCATTTGCATAATCTTTATAGCAGAGCTTTACAAGGCAGCTTCGGGCCAAATATTTATGGCCTAGGTTTAACTGAAACCCAAATGATGGCCAGACGCTTCTTCCAGAGAGAAATGATTCCTCTGGAGTTGTAAGCTGCTTTACATTTTTGTGGTTTTAAGATAAAACTGCCTCAGTAAATAACGTATGGGGCAAAAACAAAAACAAAAAGAACAACAACAAAAAAAACCCAAAAAACCAAACCCGTGATGGTAGAGAAGGACTTTGAAGAGTCTGGGCTCATCAAGCCAGCAGAGAAATCCAAGGTGGTTTCAGCTCTTCTGAAGCATTAGTGCTCCCCGGACGGAGGTGCAGATGACTGCGTATCAGGCTCACTGTGCTGTGCTCACGGTCTAGATAAGATCTCGAAATAAGCATGCTTCTCAGATGGCCTGACTGTTGCGCAGAATTTCCTGCCTCTGCCTTAGTTCTGGGAGCCTTCCAGTCCCTAATGGCACCTGTTTTATTTCACCGGGGGCTCTGTTACCCCACCTTATATCCCAAATATTTGAACTCCGGAGTCCGAATTGGCTTTGGCCGACGTTTTATGGCCGGACCAGCCTTGCAGACTGCACTTAACCCAAACATATCCCAGATGCCGCCTGTCCCCTGGCTGAAGAGAGCTGTGTTATCACAGTATACACGGCAGACGCCTCTGTGCAGAGCGGTGTCCCCAGAGCAGGTCGGGGGCCACGGACGTCTGTCAGTGTTCCGGGTGTCGGGCTTTGACTTCCTCCTTTCCTCCCAGCCACGCGGGGCCTTCTCTCCGGGGTCAGTTCATTCTGGGCTGTCAGCACTAGCCTCGGCTGGCCTCACTTTCCTGCCTCTACTGCCTGACCGCTGCTCCGAGGATGAATTATGAAATATTATACAGAAATAATTT